ACTTATATGGAATAATTCCTAAAATCCTTTTTTATAATCGCCATCTTCACAGTATTTGTTATTTTTCATACTCACTAATGTTATAATGCACTCTGCATCAAAATACAGTGTATATGATTAAACCCTTAACAATTATGACCAAATTATGACCAAATGGTACCCCTAACTAGTTAAATGATATACAACACTCCCATATTCTATACAATAAAAATATTGAAGATTTACTACTGAAAATATGGGATATATTATGTGTTATGCTGTTGCAGCTGAAAAATGGCTTTGTAATCCAGTTTTTGTTTCAGGAGATTTACAATAGAAACTCTTAGTGATAGATGCCAAATTATTGTGAAATTATCCCTCTTTTATATGCAATTTACTTTTTGTAAATCAACTAAATATTATAACGAAATTATGTTGAAATATGTGAAAATGCAGATACGTTATGAAATTTTATATAATTCTACTGTTTGAACTTGCAATTATAAAAAAAAAAAAAAAAAAACATATGTTTTTCAAGAGTTGATCCTGTGGTATGTAATTCAGCCTAGAAATGAACATTTATCAACAATTATTTTTATAAAAATGACAAAAGATTATTCTTATGGTTACTTGTAGTGTCCGCAACAAAAATGCCATGCATTTTCAAAGCTAGACAAGATGCAACCAAAGATATCCAGGATGTTATGACAAATGTATTTGAAATTTAGAATCATTCAATTTAATTTTCACATGATGATTATACAGGTTTTATGTGTAATTGTAAAGGTAGGTAAACTTAAGGATGGGAGATAAATTAGGCAAAATATTAGCAAGTCATTAATGTGAATAAAATTTTTGTTTTCAAAGAGAATCATAACATTTTTCTTTTATTTCATTGCAATCAGATACATAATCGAAACCTGCAAGAAGTTTGGAATAAATAAATAAATATCTTTAATATTTTATTTTAGATATAACAGGTGTTATGTAGTGTCCGCAACACAAGGTCTCGCCCAAAATTTGACTTCACATAACTTTTTTCATAAGAATGCTTATATAAAAAAAATGTGAATGGGCAGAACCCCCCCCCCCCCACCCCCCAATTATGTGCCTGTATAACATAATTTTTTAAAGAATCCCGAAAATTTTTAAATAATGAAACAATGATAAGAAACAGATTGAGGATGATTTATGATTATGTCACGAATTATAGGTCCCATTTTCATGCATTAAAAAGAAATTTCTTGCATATATTTCCAATATATTTCTATTTATACTTTTATATTTCAGCGAATGAGGCTTTAGTCACCAAGCACCATTTTTATCAAATAACGGGGTTTCCTAATGTTATTGGGGCCATCGATGGCACTCTAATACCCATTATAGCTCCCAAAGAAAACGAGCCTGAATATGTGTGTCGAAAAGGCTTTCATGCCATGAACGTGCAACTGGTGGTGGATGCCTCTCTAAGGTTCGTGCAAGAAAAACGCTACAACTGTACTTAAATGTATTTATTTTAAATTTACACTACTTAATTCAAAATATTTTTTCATTTACCCTTCATCGCATTATTATTTTTTTATCATTTCAAAACTTTCTGTGGTAACCTAAAACAGACTATAGGTCACCTGTAATAATTTCTTTTGTTCTCTCCCTCCCCTTACCTGTAAACCATTCCCATCTAGCCAAAACCAATCACCTGTAACAATTTCAGAATTTTGGCTAAGTCGGAAGACACTATCTAAATAGCATTTATCTTGTAAAAACCGAGTGTCAATATCAGTTCATATAGACAATTCATATTGTTAATATACTGTTTACATGTATTCAATGAATTCCAATGTTTGTATTACATAAATAGTAGATGCATGATGATGATTATTAATTTCTTATCGTTAGGTTCACAAACATTGTTTGTAAATGGCCGGGATCAGTCCATGATTCCTTCATATTTGCAAATTCCGAACTGAAAGACCACATGGAAACACGGTAATTGAAATTTAAATTTACCAAATTTAGAAGAAACAAAGCAGGGGTGCAAGCACTACTTGGGTAGAGGGTTGCATACAGTATGTACGTGTATGTAATTAAGAAGTGGGGAGGGCTTGTTATAACGGGTTGTTACATTCCTGGAAAAGCTCTTTTATTTCTTTTTAATTATTTGTTTTCTGATATATTTGTCACAGAAATGATGGCTGGCTTCTTGGGGACACAGCCTACGCCCTTAAGAAATATATGATGACACCCAAGTCCAATCCATCTAGTGTGGGAGAAGAGAATTATAATGCTGCACACAGTCGCACACGAGTAGTAGTTGAGAGGGCTCTGGGCGTCTGCAAATCCCGGTTTAGGTATATTTCTATATATATACACACGCACACCCCCTAATACAAACAGAGACTTTGCTTCAAATTTGACAATATTAAAATAATATACTTTATTTATAACAGCATTATCATGAACATCATCATATATCGATTGTACCATCATGATGAAACAACAATAATAATAATATAACAAGGACTAGTAACACATTAATTCTTACTAAAACAAAAGAAAATAATGCTTAAAAATTGCATTTTTCAATAGATGCGTACACAAATCTGGTGGAATGCTACTCTTCTCCCCACAGAAGAGTGTTCAGATCATAACTGCAGTTGCTAAATTGCACAACATGTGCCTTGACATGAAGGTACCTCAGATGGAATATGAAGAAGCCGTCAATATGCATGACCCTGGGGTTCATCAACAAGCCCAAGATGCAAATGCAGACCAAACTGGACAGGCAATTCGACAGAGATTAATTCAGAGATTTGCTATGAATTGATCTGGATAATCTTTTACATGCTTACAGAAGCTATTTTCCCCCCTTTAAATTGAAAACTAGGCTAGTGACTAGTGAGTATAGTCAGCTTAATACTGGATTTTTCAAATTTCTTCAAAATTTAATACAAGTCAAAAGTATCCATATTCCTTACAAGTTTGATTTTATTATTCATAAGTAGAACTAAGTCAAAAATTTAAAGGAAGTTAAGAATTTCACAATACATGTATTAACAAGAGGACCATGGGTCACAATGCTCCATTGAGTGACTTTGGCCTAGCATGGCTGTTTTTCATTCTGTGTATTTTTTTTTTTTTGGCCTACTTTTGTCCAACCTTACCCTGGGGTCAATATTTGAAGAAATTTAAATCTAAAATTCCAGACGATGATTCCATACAAATATAAATCATTGCTTTGCTATTATTATTAAGAAAAATAATCTCTGTTTTTTTTTTCTCTCTTAAATATTCCTATGTAAAAATTTGCCTATTGATAACAACTTTATAATAATGGTTTGAAGAATCATTGACAGGTCAGACATATTTGATATATTTGTCAATTCATGTCAATGGCTTTATGTTTACAACTAATCTACAGTTGAAAGTTGTACAGATACAGGTTGACTTTATACACACTTCTGTAATATGTATTGAAATCATTATTTATTAGAAATTATGCTCACACTATTTCATATTATGTAACCTGTAATCAAAAATTGTATAATCATATCTAATATGTGGATCATATAGCAAGCTTAATACATGTATATACTTTATCATTCTGATATGCTCAACTACATATTACACTACAAATGGACTCTGTTTTCAAAACATATGCTATTTAATTTACACATCCTTGATATGTACTGGTATGCTATCTTACTTAATAATCAATTTGTTTAAAATTTCTTTTAATGCATACTGAGTATGTAATAGGCATTTTGCAGATATTTCATATAAATTTAATGTTTCTCACATATTGAAAAGAATTCATTTCTGTAGATTTTTCTTCATAATAATCAAATTCTACGTAATATAACATGTACATTTTAACAATGTGCTTTTTGATTACAATGTAGCTAAAAACAATTAGTTTATATCATATTTATAACCTGTATTGCTAAGTTACATCACAGTATGCCTTGTATCATCAGCATATTAATTTGCTTGACAAGATATTTAAATTTTGTACATTTTTTTTTTTCATTATGCTTCTGTGACATATTTCCAAGTCTTAAGATATCAATACAATAATTGCACCCTACATTGCTGTTGTTATTGCACAAACATCACGTAACAATGTGAATAACTTTAACAATATAAACAAAGAGCTAAATCTGAACATGTGTAAAAATAGTTTTTGCAACAAATGTAAAATTTCTTTTCCGATTTAATCCAATGCTTTTGTCTAAAGTAACATTAAATAAAAAATCAATGAGTCATCTGCTAAATTTTTGTTGTATTGTCTTGCTAGTTAATTTTTCACATACAGTTACTATAAATATGAAACATGCTTCAAACTTGTATATTATAACAATGTGAAGACCTAAAAAAATGCAGGTGAAGAGAAGATAGATATAAGAATTTGAATTGTTAAAAAAAAAAAAAAAATGGGAAAAATTGGAGGGGGAGGGGACTTAAATATAAACTACCTCAGGATGCTTCCATATCAATATTACTAATCATGGCTTTGCTGTTCTTAAACAGAATTTTTTAAAGATTTTTTCTCTATGTTTTCCTATGTAAAACTATGATAGCTCATTGTGGCCCCACCCTACCCACCTTAAATTTAAACAAATTTGAATCTGCACTATTTGAGAATGCTTCTATAATAATATGACTAATCATGGCTTTGCTGTTCTCGAGAAAAAAATTTTCAAAGACATTTCCTATATATTCCTATGTTAAACTTCGACCCCCTCTTATGGCCCTGCCCTACCCCGGGGTTATGATATGAACAAACTTGAATCTAGAGAATGTAATGCAGCATTTACATAAGTTTCATTTTCTCTTGGCCAGTGGTTAATGAGAAGGAGTTGAAATTGTGAAAATGTGAAAAGTTTACAGACGACAGATGACGGACGACAGACAGACGCCGGACACTCTTTGATCAATAAAATCATAAGTTGACAAGGCCTTTAATCACTGGAGAAACTGAAGGCGAAATGTCCTGTTGCTTTCTCCAGGTAACATAGTCTTCAAGGATGCTCATCTTTTTTCTTTTCAATGGCAAGATGTTCCTTCATTATTTTTAGTTTTTCTTCTTCAATTTCCAAAAGTCTATCCTTCACAGCAGCTGAAATCATATTTTCAAAATTTTTAACACAAGAAAGAAAATAACAAGTTCCTAATTAATCAAAGCATGGCCCCTGGACTAGTAATGAGATCACATAAGGGGTCCAAAATTTTACATACATGTATACGGATATACATGTAATGTTTATGGAGAAAATTATTTTAAAATCTCCTCCAGAACCTACCACGCCGATTATAACCAAACTAGATACAAAGTATTCTGATGTGTAGGAGAAGCTAATATGTTAAATACAGGGTCATATCCCTTTTAAGGGGAAATAACTATATAAAAAAAAAAGTAAGAATACAGCAATGTCCAGAATCAGAGCCAGATATAAGCTAACTTGGGCACAGACTATCCTTATAAGGTAAAGAATTATTTTTGATTGATTTTGAAGATATTACAAAAGTATTAAAGGAATAACTGTTTTCTAGTTTGTTATTTGTGGCCAATTTAATGATCGGAAACTGAGTTTTATCAACAATGCATCAGCAAAGCCCATAAAAAGGATGATTTATTTCAGTATACAACCCTTGTTGCACTACTTACCTAAAGCTTGAGTCAAATGCATGCAAAATGTGTATGTATTAATTATTAATAAAAATATTTGACAGATCTACAAAGCTAACTACTTACACACTGTGAAATTTTCTACGTCTTTCTTCTTTTTCTTGTTGATTGGCCTATCCCCTACAAACAAGAGAGCAGATTTAAATACAATGTTACAATGTATAATGCATGTTATAATCTATTAAGTGATATTCAATTAAATGAATGAAGATTTGGATTCATACTGAGTACGCAAAGTACAAATAACCATTATCACAGATAATTTCTTATTGTCATTTTCAAATATTTACGAGAAATATAATTTTGCAGTTAAGAAACATATTATTTATCACCAAAAGAAAAGAAAGAACACTGAACATCATGCAGGGTACAGTAAAATTTGGTCATAGTGAAGTCCTGGGGACCTGTGAAATTACTTCGCTATATATCCTTAATCCGTTATACGTGTATATGTACATGTATAACATATTCATTTAAGTATATACAGCGATTTCGCAATATATGTTTTCTTTGACTAACGAATACCAGTATGTTCAGGGAAGTATTAAATACAAAACTAACCCCGGGATACAGAAATATTTTGGTTTACAAAAAGTCTATCTATGACCATTCAGTTTGACAAAAAATGTCATCGTCCACAAACTCTAATGGACAACCCTCGTAGACTCCTTTTTACAGTGGCTATTGGTCATATGATATCAACTTAATACATGTATATCAACATTTGTGACATCACAATGGTTTTTGTGAGAAAGTGATGAAATCAAATCTAGTGGATTCATAAAATATGTGTACAGTGTTACCTATGTGTAATACAGGATAAAAAGAATCTCTTATGGTTTGTGGTTTGATATGATTTTCATCCCACTCATTTTGTGCATTTTAACCTAAGCCTAGGGGGTAAAAGTACACAACTCGTTGGAGATTCTGTAGATAGTAATATGTTTATTACTACTGTCAAAATGAAGTTGGGGTTTTAAATAAACTTACCATTTGTACATGTGGACATAATTTCCGATACATCTTCACCTACACTTTGTAGTGGCTTGTTTATGTCTGTTAGGAATAAAAAAGATAAAAAAACATAAATATTATCGCTATAGAAATATTGCAAGTTTCATTAGACTTCATAATTTAATTAATGTGAAAATACTAAACTTCAGTTTTATTGTTGTTCCAAACCTCTAACAGGCACATAGTATTGGGAGGGCCCATGGGGCTACCTTTTCCCAAACTTTATATTTTAAGTTAATGTGGTATGGAAATGTTCATTAAAAGTTGTCCCCCCACTTTTTTGCAGTATTGTCAAATACTCCCATGTTAAAGTATTCAACTAGTCCCCCTTTCTAAACAATGTTTAAGTTGAACATGATTCATAAAAGGACAGAATTTTTTTTCCCTCTTCCCTTGCCTTTATTTCTCCAGCCTTTTGTAATTCACAGTTCAATGTATTTGCTTTACAGATATCAACTGTGCAGATATTTTCTTGGCTTACTCTTTGTTTTTGATTTACCAGATCAATAATTAAATTATCCCTCTCTTTCACATCATACAGTTTAACTAACCAATTGAAGGTGCATCACATCCCTCGAGAGGCTCATCTACAAAATAATTTGTTGCATGTAAATATATGTCACAAGAAACTTAACAGTATGCAATGTGTATTGATATGGTAAGTGATTAATTTGGGGGGCTGTCGCTTTAAAACAGAAATAAAATTATATTGAATTAAATTCCAATTTGTTTTAATTGCCCCACATTCATGGAGTGATTTTCCCCACTAATTCAGACACTCTGAATGCCCTCCATAGTTATTTGTGTTTAGTCCATTTGTTTTGACTATGAAAATCTGAGAGACAATGGGAGAATCCTCATTTAGAAAGCCTAGGATACAGTTATATACAATGTGGACAATGTTTGCTCGCTCAAAATATTATAATTTATAATTTCTTTAAGAAATTAATTCCAATCATACCATATTTTCTTTTTTTAGAACATTCTTGGATGCAATCTGGAATAAAGTAGAACAAGTATTTTTTTATTATTATTATTTTACATTTATAAAAGTTTTTGGCAAATAAAATCTAAAAATATATGTACATATATAAGACTATAAAGTATAAAAATAATATCAAATTGCATTTATATGTTATATTAACATGCATTAAGATGCTTACCATCCATGGGTGAAATCACACTCAGGGATTCATATCCCCCCTCCACTCCAGATATGATATCATTAGAGAGCACAGCAACAATCTGCAAAATATTGATTTCATGTAGAACATTTGGACAGCATTAAAACAATTCTTTATATTTTTTTTCTTAGCATGCTTAATGTATATTGAATACAATTTTTATTGATAAAAAGATTGATTGTAATTATCTAAAATTATTGGAATTCATCATTGTTCATGACTCACTTTTTCCTCCCAAGGCTTAAGTTCTGGAGGAGGTGACCCCCCACCAGTTTTCTTCATTTCAGATTTCCTATTTAAAAGAGAAAAAAAGATACTATCTAAATATAGGATCTCCCATGATTTGTAGTTGGATATGATTTTAATCCAACGAGTTGTGTGTTTTTTTATCCCCGAGCCTTGGCGAGGGGATAAAAACACACAACGAGTTGGATAAAAATCATATCCAACTACAAATCATGGGAGATTCTTTTTAGCCCATGTTTAATACTTCACAACCAATGTTTTACACTGTTTTATATAGAACTCCACTTTATTTTACTTCATCACGCTAACGCAAAAACCATTGTGACGTCACAACTGCACTTAAGGACGTACAACACACCCACCACCAAAATTTTCCTGTCGTTTAATTTTCGCTATTTTTGTATATATTATACATGACTATATATATAATGTGTATGCACATTTTGGACAAAATTGTTCGAGTCGTATTTGGACAGGAAGTTCAAAAAGTTACCTCCCTTTGGTTGTTCACGCGGAGAAGAAATTTTCAATCGGCTAGCTATAAAATCCTTGATTATCAAAAAAGTTCAGCTAGTCTGGTTGTCAAATTTCATCGACTCATTCATATAACCATTAACCACACAAATAAAGTATTTTTGTAGAGGTACACATTGGCAAAATATTTTTTGAAGAACTGAAACTGAAAAACTATGGTTCATTTAAGCTTAAAAAATGCGTATTTTTTAATTTAAATATTTTTTTTTATGAAAAAACTTATCCTTTAATTTTGGAAAAAATACCTTTTTCATGTAACTGGTTACAAAAGTAATCTTGATAGTTTTTTGTAATTTTTTTAAACGAGCCGTTTTGAATTTATAGCGAAAAATCACCACCCCCCCCCCCCCACCCTTTCTCCTTAAGTCACGTTTCTCAAGCGTCTTTCAGAAGTGGGATGAAAACATTGTTAGATCTACAAATACACATGAAAAATTCCAAGCTAGAACATATTTTTTGCTTTAAAAGATTATTTACATTATATATCAGAGTTCTTAAAATTTTCAGTTCATTGAAATGCAGATGTATAGGCAATATTTGACGAAGTCCTCCCCCCCCCCCCCTTTTTTTTGGACGCAGTCATTAGAACTTCATGAAACATAGGTTACCCTCGAGATATATATTTAATCCTTTAAATCCCTGAAATACCAATTCATTCATTCATTCATGCAGATTAAAATTCTGATAACTAGAATAAGAGTTAAGCTATCAACTACTAGAATAAAAGTTAATTCATAAATTTGATTCCACAGTGACGGTGACGGTGTCCAATATGTAGTCCATACACATGACTGACATGCATTTAATTTTATACCTGCGTATGAATTCAACTTACATTGAATTTTAATCTAATTTTTCATTAAAAGTGAACGCACAATGTTGAAAATTCAACTCTTCTATGATGTAAACAGACTGGTAAATGGAATATATTGTTTTTTTTATTTATATCAGACAAGAAAGGGGTCTAAATGTAAACCCCCCTCCCAAACACACACACACACACTTGTATGCATCCTTCTTTTGCTTCTATAGATAAAATGGAAATATCGTATTCGTCTACATTAACTTCAATTTATCAAACTGTAAATTCTCCATCTATGTTTAAATTATTCATGTGTCAAAATATTCATGTACAGTGATACATGTATCAAACGTTTTGATTCGAGGAAATGCGCGCTAAAATTGTTTACAGTGGTAGATCGTAGATCTAGATCGTTGGATATGGCCAGTTTGCCGCATATAAGATATTCATGAATTCGGACCATTTCAGTAAACAATTCTATTACATTTTCGGTACTTACTAAGTATATATTATAGTTTTCAGTTCCTGAGTTCATCAGAATTCATTGTAAATGTGTCTTCATAACTGTTCGGCAAACAGGAGGAAATAACTCTAGAAGGGAAGGGGAAAATCTCCCCCAGTTTTAGAGTTGTTCCTCTTTGACCAGTGAACTTTTGGAAACGGGTTGTAAAACTTTTTTTTTTCTTAAAAGGAGAACAAAACAGTATTTATATGGCTAATTCTTAATTTTAAGATAGGCCCGTGATCTGGTAATGCGAATGTTACATATCCAACTGTATCAAAAGAAAGCAATGTATCATAAAAAGATAAAGAATATTGTTCTGCTAATATTGATCACGAATACAAGTTTCATATAAAATTAAAGAAAAATTTAAAACATAATCTTTCTTTTCTTCTCTTTTTATGGAGGTAGGGGCGGGTTTTAAATCAAAAGCGCAAATAATCAAGGATACGATTTGGTATTTCTAAAGAAACCACATCAAGTCCCTAATCCCATTTTCTTTTAATTACGTCGGGATCGATTCGGTCGTCATTTTGACGCTTTATTATAAACGTCAAATTTGACATCAAGTTAAACGTTTAATTGAAATTGCAAGAGTTATCTCCCCCAGTGTGTTGTACGTCTTTAACTGTGGGTTATGAAAAAAATATCCAATGAGTCATATCCACGGGATAAAGGGGTAAACATGGGATAAATTTCTTTATACCCTTGTAAATTTTGTAGATTTAAAAATGAGTATGAATACATGTATTAGACTTCTTTTAAAATACAGGGTTTGTCTGATTGTCCGTGTCCAGTTCATTTTGTTATCTGACTAAGTCAATTTTCACAAGCATTTGTCCGATTGGACAAGTACACTTTTTTACCATTATGGACGAGTGTAAATAAATCTTTTTTTTTTAAATAGATAAATAATTTGCATTTGGACAAGTAGCATTTGCAGGCAACTTGTCCAATGGACATTCTGTTTAGCCATGAAATAATTCCAAGAACTTGATATACATTATTTTAAATTTATTAATATTTACATCAATCATGTTCTTACAATGCAAAAAAAAAATTAAGAAATAATCTCAATAAAAAAAATCATGACCAGATGTTTTAAAATAAACCCTGTGTTTATGACATATTGTTATATGTTTTTACAGTATACCTGTTGGCCGCCTTCTTCTTTGTGTGACTCTGTATATCTTGCCACTTTTTCTTAACGTCTTTCACACTGCGGACGCAGGAAAAGCAAGAATTGACTCTAAGTGAAAATATCATGAATTGATTAATCCTTTGATTAAATTTGCCAAACAAAAAATTCTGTGAAGTATCTTACTATCAGAACAGGACTGTATCATCTGAATTTTAATAGAATTTGATAACTGGTTCGATAAATGTTATTCATCCTCGGTGGAACTGACCATAAGAAATATTCATATTCAATTTCTGTAGCATTAGGCCTAGTATTATATATTTATATGGAAAATGAGAGCAACATTTTTCAATACTGATTGCTTCCTCATAATGGTATCCCATGAAAGATCATAATTACATTAATTACCTTTCTGTTATTTCAAACCAAGCTCTCTGCTTGGTCTGGATGGTGAGCGATGGGCCAAATTTTCCACGAATTATGGCCCATCGCTCTGCATCAGCCACCAGATCAACCAAAAGATTGATACTGGCCTCTGACCAGTTCGCTTTTCTCTCCTCCATGGTTGGTTTGTTTACGTTCGTCTGCTTCGTGTCGATTTTACCTCCAGCGCTAAAGAGTTCCTAAAGTGCTCGTAACTCGGAAATCGTAAGTGCTACGTCTACGACATGTTTTGTGAAACGCTCGTATACGTTCACGTGAAATAATCGTAAACGTAATCGTAAGTTTACGATCTACGATTTGTTAGTGAAACGGTCGCCTGGTGCCTAGGAGGATTAATCATCCTCTGTTGACCGGTCTCACCCGTCGTGAGCCCTATGTATAGATCAGGTAAACGGAACATTCCGTGGTCAAATGCAGTATAAAAGCAAAGGTCTTTCAATTGGTACGGAACACGTCATCCAAAATACGGCCCAATGACAGGTTATTTTTGCAAACAAGGTCATTATAACGACCATAGAATTTACGAAATGCTGACTTGAAACGCTGTTATTGAAATCCCTGTAAAAATCAACTTATCTGTCAGTAGCCTGCATATATATATATATATATATATATATATATATATATATATATATATATATATATATATATATATATATATATATATATATATATATATATATATATATATATATATATATATAATTTCAAACCGGTACAGTTTTGCTGGGTGTATTAAGAAACGTTACAGAACCGGTACAGTTTTGCTGGGTGTATTAACAATTAAAATCCAAAAAAAAAAAAAAAAAAAAAAAAAAAAATCACAAAATATTTTCTGCAAGCGCTTTCGCCATGTTAGGCTCTTCCGGCAGTTATACAAATGTCAGGTAGGTTACCTGGTAATGTCCAAAAGCAAAAGTTCATTGTGACGTCATAATAGATTAATGTAGCGTAAAGTTGCCGTATTAGATAATGTACAAATATTGCATTAACTTGAACACATAATATGCATTAAATCTTACAATATGTTATATAATAAAGTATCATTTTCGATTAAGCTTTGGTTTAAAGAGTTTGGTAAAGTAGTCCTCTTTTGCCAATCGTAGATTTTCATTTTCATTGGGAAGTTTATAAAAAGGGAAAATCCTAAATATTCCTTTGCCGCATTTTGCAAAATGTTCACAACATGGTGTATTACACACACTAGGCTGCACACTAGGGTCTTTAATTTGTTGTTTGTGTATACGAACCCGGGCATTTAGTTTTCCCGTTTGTCCAATATAGAATTCTTGCACGTCGGACAGATTGCACAGTAGATAACGTTTGCGGATTTACAGTTCATTGGTGAGTTGGTTCTACATGTAATTTTCATTCCTGATTTAAGTTGGATTCTATTTCCCTCTTCTAAATATGTACACGTTCCGCATCTTGGTTCTTCGCATTTTTAATGGTTGGAATTTCCTCCTGTGTAGTAAAACGGGCCTTGGCTAGCAGTCGTCTAGGTAATCCATTCTTTATAATAAGAAGATAACTCTTGGTCCAAAATATGAAGCAGTCGTCTATAATCTAAAGTTAGTTCTAGAAAATAATTAATTTCACTTTAACAATGAGTTCTATCAACAAATAAAAGGAACAGCTATGGGGACAAAAGTTGCTCCTTCATATGCAACCTTGGTGATGGGATACTTGGAAGATCAATTATATGGGAAAATACCGGAACTCTTTGATGACGACTTTGGTAACTATATTAGAAATAATTGGAAACGTTACCTAGACGACTGCTTCATATTTTGGACCAAGAGTGAAGAAGACTTACATAAATTCCATTCACTTCTTAATAACCTCCATGATTCTATACAATTTACAATAGAAAAAAGTCGTGCGGAACTTCCATTTTTAGATCTTCTTATTATAAAGAATGGATCCTGTATAACTACAAACTTATACTGTAAACCTACGGACACGCATCAGTATTTGGATTTTAGATCGTGCCATCCATCCCACAAAAAACGTAACATCCCGTTTAATTTAGCACGAAGAATTTGTACAATTATTACAGATAGAACCCTGCGTTCTAGACGTTTGGAGGAATTAAAAATATATCTACGACGACAAAACTATCCAATTGATTTAATCAACGCTGGAATAGACAAGGCGTCCAAAATTCCAAAAGAGAACCTTAGAAATCCACGCCGTGTAGATGACCCCACCGATGACGGGAAAATAGCCTTTGTTGTGACCCATAACCCACGAAACAGAAATATCCTTATTGACGCTAAAAGATTCTTCCCAATTTTAGAACAATCGGAAAATATGAAAAGTTTAATACAACCAAATGATATTATCAATAGTCGACGACAGGCACCCAATCTTAAAAAAAATTGTTAACCAAGGCCCGTTTTACTACACAGGAGGAAATTCAAACCATAAAAAAACGCGGAGATCCAAGATGCGGAACGTGTACATATTTAGAAGAGGGAAATAGAATCCAACTTAAATCAGGAATGAAAATTAGAACCAACTCACCAATGAACTGTAAATCCGAAAACGTTATCTACTGTGCAATCTGTCCGACGTGCAAAGAATTCTATATTGGACAAACGGGAAACTGAATGCCCGGGTTCGTATACACAAACAACAAATTAAAGACCCTAGTGTGCGTAATACACCATGTTGTGAACATTTTGCAAAATGCGGCAAAGGAATATTTAGGATTTTCCCTATCTATAAACTTCCCAATGAAAATGAAAATCTACGATTGGCAAAAGAGGACAACTTTATCAAACTCTTTGAACCAAAGGTTAATCGAAAATGATACTTTATTATATAACATATTGTAAGATTTTATGCATATTATGTGTTCAAGTTAATGCAATATTTGTACATTATCTAATACGGCAACTTTACGCTACCTTGATCTATTATGACGTCACAGTGAACTTTTGCTTTTGGACGTTACCAGGTAACCTACCTGACATTTGTATAACTGCCGGAAGAGCCTAACATGGCGAAAGCGCTTGCAGAAAATATTTTGTGATTTTTTTTTATTTTTATTATATATATATATATATATATATATATATATATATATATATATATATATATATATATATATATATATATATATATATATATATATATATATATATATAATTGAATTTCCTACATTTTCCTATCATTAAACGGTATTAAATAAAAATACTTTATATAAATCTTCTTTGTTCATTTAACATAAGGGTGAGATATGTTGATTTGCTGAAGACTTTAAAATAGAAAGAATTTCCCTTGTCACAATACATATAGAAAAATATAACCAAATTCTATATTATATATGTAATAAAATATGGATGTACAATATGTACATTTACTGTATTTACTGTAAAATAAGTACATAATTTGTAATTGTCAAATTAAAGTTATGGCTTATTATGGCCAATATAATTTTGCAGTACTCGATCTTTCCAGGTGTATTCTTTTACCATTTATTTTCTTTTTTTTCAAATTTTGCATTGTATAACTCTTTTTATCTGCAGTGTAAATGTATTTTTGTATTCTATAATGTCCATTTGTATTGCATTTTCCCATTATGTTGTATATTTTCTATTTCAACTCTTTAATTTCGATTTACAATCTATATGTCGTTATATCACATGCCAATTTGCAACTTTATATATAGGATACCATTTATGATAGTAAGTTCTTTTATAATGACATATTTTATTATTAATAGCCAGTTTACCTCTAGACTATCTTGTTTTGATTGCTCGATTTTTTTTTTCCAAATCTTTGAATTTAGGTGCATGGATCATAAATCCCAAGACATAAAAATCTAGACAAGACATGTGTCAACATTTCCAATTTTAGGAATCTTTTCAAGGAATTTAATCATCCTTTATCAATTTTGTCATTTATACCATTAGCTTCATGTGATTAATTTGGAACTTTATCTTCTGTTTGTCAATCTGTGAGCCAGATATCGCCAATATTTCCCTTAAAATCTCGTTATGATTTATGATGTTCGATTTTTCTTTTACTTTTGTATCTTAAGCACAAGGAAATCCATATGAAATGAAAGAAAAAATAATTTTCTAATTCATATTACATGTAAAAATTTTTTTATATAAGTATGCCATTGTTGCAAAAATAATCAAAGAAACATGAAAAAAATAAAAAGAATTTTATTCAATATGCTTGATTTATTTTCAACTCAATTGATACACATTCTGTGAGAGAAAAAGGATGCTTAACCTGTAGAGCTAAGTGTTTATTTACATAAGATAAATCTGCGTAATAATCCATATTGTATCGCATGATAATATTAGCTGAAATATGTACATGAATGAATCTTTTTTTCTTTTTTTTTTAATTTCAATTGCTTTTTGAAAACGAACAAAACAAGGCATATGAATCAAAGAACTTAACTAATTTTAAGAAGATGCAAATTAAAATATCAGTTACGATTGAAAATAAAAACCGAGGAAAGATAATGTCCCTGCTGTTCTGGAGAAGATCCCCCCCCCCCATATACTTCCATTTAAAATTTCGATCCCGTATTGTTGACTCAAACGTCCCCTGTGGACCATGGTTTGAACAATATTGTATCAAATCTCTACCTGAGGATGATTGCACATGTTGCTATTGATTAAGACCCTTCTTTTTTTCTTTTTTCTTCTGTCTTTCTTTTGATTACATAATTGTGCTTTGGATTTAGTCAATTATAATTTTCAAAGTCAACATCACATATATCAACATCAACCACAATAAGTCAAAAATATAAAACAGTTCAATGGTCATTATAAATTGCTGGTTACGATTTCGTCAATTTTACCACTGTGATAAATTACATTTTCCCGAAATCCTCCAAAGGGTACTTCGCGAATTAGACCATTGGGTACTGTATGGAAATAACAGGCAATTCTGATCCACACATCATTGGTCTACTTCACCAGCACAGATAACTTCTGAGAAGAAAAAACACAAAACACCCACAGTAGAAAAGAACTCTAATGACATTTCCATAACTGTCAATATAAGTATAATTCATTTATGTAATACTATGTAAATGAACGAAAGGAGAATGGGGATACTAAAACACCTAACTCAAGAGTGTAGATGGGAAGG